GTCAGAGCTTTGGCATGACATGCAGTGGCACCATCTCAATCTCTGTCCAGCGCGGGTAAAATAATTATAATGCTAAAGGTGAGGTACAATTCTTATTTCTTTATTAAATAACTTACTAAATAATTTTAAAACTTTCTGTGAGGCATAATTTTACAAACAGCACGAGTGAATCTCCGCGAGCTCTCTGTCTTTCCCTCTCAAAATGCGCAAATGGCTTCATATCACCACATCGCGTCTGCACTATAAGCTGCACACTGCACGGTTGACACAGGAATTGTCACAGTTTACATGCATCGTCACTAAAGTTTATAATTTGCATTTCTTTTTAAGCTTGGCTAGTATTTAAACCATTCAGCACTCGTGCGCACTCCAGAGACTGTGTGCTCATGCACACTCAACAATTGCCCCATTGTAAAAACAAAAATACACAGCATGATCAAAAATTTAATTACACATTTTTGAACGAAAAAAAAAAAAAGTCTAAAAATCCCCCCCTCCACCACTCAAATTAAAAAAATCCTCCCTCCCTCAAGAGGGGAATTCACCCCATTTTCAAAAATAAAATTCAGGCCCTGAATGAATGTCTGTTAAAATCCTGATTAGAGTATCACTATAAATAATTCTACATGTTAAAAAGAAGCCTTTTTTATCATGTAGATAAAACAGAGATAAAAAAAAAGTCCCTCTATAACAGAGAGGAACACTCTCTGTTAGGAGAAATCACGCCTGCTCCCTGAGAAAGTCAATGTTAATTTTCTTAAATAAAAATCGCTAGAGACGCCAGAATTCTCTATTACATTCTGTTGTGCTCCTATATGCACATGATGTTCAAATATGTTGTGCTATGGTATGCTGACGAAATCTCTCTCTCTCTCTCTTTGAAGGGCCTTTTTAATTAAAAATGTTCTTTATGTGCCCTTTTCTGTTTGCTTGGAGGCATTTGTAAACTGCAGTAATAAAATAACTTGAAATTTGCAACATTTTTTACATCATTTATTTTTGCTCCAAATTATAGGGAGTAGTATGGATAACGGTATCGATAAGCAGTATCGATAAAATGTAAACGATACCCATCCCTACCCCGGAATTTATATGTGACCCTGGACCACAAAACCAGTCATAAGTCGCATGGGTATATTTTTAGCAATAGCCAACAATACATTGTATGGGTCAAAATGATTGATTTTTCTTTTCTTTCATTAGGATATTAAGTAAAGATCATGTTACATGAAGATATTTTGTAAACTTCTTACCATAAATATATCAAAACTTAATTTTTGATTAGTAATATGCATTGCTAAGAACTTAATTTGGACAACTTTTGGCGATTTTCTCAATATTTTGTTTTTTTTTTATGTATAAATCTCAATTTCAAAAAATTGACCCTTATGACAGGTTTTGTCATCCGGGGTCACATATAAACATAATATTATAATTTAGGTTGCTTGTTGAAAGTAAAATGTAAAAGGTGTTCCATAACCTGGAAACCATGTAAATGTCAGAAAAAAAATTCTAAGATTAACTGCTTCTGAAGTTATAAGTCCACTACACACCACCATCTATAGGTTCTCTCATTTTCTTCAGTTCAGAATTCAGCGTGAAGCACTTTAAATGAGGCAAAAAGCAGAAAACAGCCGTTCATTATGCTAAACTAGGGCAGCCTAGCTTCAGCAGCCCTCCCCAATGACAGCTAGTTTAGAAAAGATTAATGTCATCCTGAATCTGCAACGAGCATGCATCCTTTTCAACACTTTCCCATTTCCAGTTGTTTTTGTTTCCACCAACAGGTACAGAAAATGTCTCTCTTTCTTTAATGTTCAATGGCAGTGGCACAATATAATATTAGTCTCTGCGGAAGTAATCGGATTGAGGGTGACATTTTGGCCAGGACTGTTCACTTAAATCCTGATATGGTGAGGAAGGGTCACAATCACTTACTTGAGCTACATTTGGATCAGTGTGGACAGCCAGTAACAGTTCAGTCAGGAAAACCATCCTTTACATTTAGCTGAGTCTTAATCAATTTATTTATTTATTTTTACAAACACATTGTGAGCGAGTGGTTTTCGTAAATGAGAAAGAGGCACAGTGTTCCTTTCCATCTTCAGTCCTTTTGTGGTTCTTTGTAAAAGCTTCCCTTGGATACAGTGGGCGATGCATTATGGGTATAAAGACAACTGCTTCACTCTCCCGTTCTAGCCTTCACTATTCATTAGGCAGTTTCCTTTTATGATGTGGACCACTTGCGCTGGGCGGCACACAAATCATTTGGATGTAGGAGTGTAGGGAGTGTTTGAAGCAGGAAGATTAAAGCAGAATCTGTCTCTCTTTCTCTCTCTCACTTGTTCTTTGTCTTTCACTGTCTCGCTTCCAATTTCTGTTCACCTCCTGTGACCTGTTCAGGATGAATCCTGCTGTTAAGATCTGTTTGTTTGTATGTCTGAGACACTACACTGTCCAAAACACGATCCTAAGGTGTGCAATCAGGCCTGTGTTGTCACTATAGTGTGAAAGTGTGAAAGCACACTATAAACTGCAGGTGAACTGACAAGGACATGATGAAAGTTTTGTGGCATGTTTGTACAGCTGGGCTAAAAGCCCCCTGGGTACAAGGCCTTTTTTGATTTTATTTCAGTCCAAAACACAAAATTGAAGCGGAATTCACTACAGCAACTTTCCTAAACAATTGTGCTTGTGTCCCTGAATACAGTTTTTTGATTCATGACTTTCTTGCATGCAATGACAAAAGATTACATTTCAGGTAATTCGTTTAAAAAACTTCATGACAGGTAAACACATTAAAACTACGTTTCAGAAGTTTGGGCATCACTCGTTGCGGCGGCTTTGTCGTGGTCACCTATAAAAATCGTACAAAGTTTACCTTTAATGTTTTGAAAGAAGTCACTTTTGTTCACCAAGATTGCATTTTTGATCAAAAATACTGTAAAAACTGTAGAATTATGAAATACTAAAAAATACTCTTTCTTTTCTGCAGATGCGATCAACTCGTAAAGTATCAGTGTGGCCTGTAGCATTTGTTGGAGGTTTACGATACGAGTCTCCAAAGGTCAATGCAGCAGGAAAAGTGTACGGGTGGAAAACAGTATTCGACCCTCACCGGCCCTTTGCCATCGACATGGCAGGGTTTGCCATCAACCTGCGGCTCATTCTGTTTAAGCCTCAGGCCTACTTCAAGTTACGAGGGGTGAAGGGAGGCTACCAGGAAAGCAGCCTGCTCAGAGAGCTGGTCACTCTCAGTGACCTGGAACCCAAAGCGGCCAACTGCACTAAGGTGAGGAAAAATTGCTCTGACTATGCCATTAATGACTCAACCTTATGTTGTACCAAACTCATGTGCAGTTTTTCTAGAAAAACATAAAAATACATTTTTTATTTATTTATTTTTTTTACACAGTTGATCTCATTCGCTAAGCATGTGTACAAGATCGAACCCCACCCCCCCCAAAACAACTTCTCCTCTCTTCTCTGATGACATGCTTACTACATGAGATCACAGCAATAGCAAACAATCCAATCAATTACAAAATCAAGTCCCGCCTTACATTTTTTCTTGTTCAAGATGCTGTTTCACTCAGATATATATGTCCTCATCTGTGAAAACCCAGATAATTTTTTTTTTGTCATTTGCTGTTTTCTACATAAAATCATCCTACATAATATAAAGATAATTTTGTGATAATAGAACCTTGATGTCTTTATTATTGACTTGCATTATGTTTTTGTCCAAAAAGCATAAAAACATTGAAA